GCTCTGGGTCTATTCAGGATCCCGTGGGCTGGGTCGTCTCACTCACTTGCCGGGCCTGCTCTTTGGGTCTGTTCAGGATCTGGCGGACCCAGGGTCGTCTCACTCCGGAAATGATTGTTGACTCCGGGTGAGAATCCTAATTCTTACAAACTAAAATCCAAATTTAAGTCATCAGACAGATGAGGTCTTGGTAGTGACAGATAATGGGCTGTTAATAAGGTTGGTGCCACCCGGTTTTTATTTATGTGTTGCGTGACAGTGTGTGGCTGAGTTGTACTGAAGCTATTCCTCGTTGCCTCTTGCTGGTAATGTAAGTGTTATCTAGTGGGTGAAGTCAGGCCCACTAGATCTATCTCGTTGCTCACAACTTCCTCAGAGCAGCTTTCAGGGCCTAAAGCTGGTATGTAAACTGGGCAGAAATAACCTGCAGGCCGGCTGAAGCCTGACCTGGGGTTTCCAGCATCTGCTGCCGCCTCCTGGGTGCTCATCTCGCCCTGGCGAAGCCCTGAGCCTCTTGCCAGCAGAGACCAGCCCAGTAAACATCGTTGAAGAGATTGGGTTTTCGTTTGTTTGCTGCCAGGTTCACTCTTTTAGTCAGTGTCCTTGCAAAGGCTTTGTCTTCTTGTTTATTTTTTTTAAAAACCTGATTTTCATATTTTCGTGACTTAAGTGCAGCCTGTAGCGCTTCATTGACCTTAAAGCTATGCAGAGGCCCTAGGGAAGTATCCGCTTCCCACTGACCATAAAATAATTTGATGATAAGATTAACTAAAGCTCTCTGTGTGGATTCTATGCAATTTCTGCCTGTTGCTGACATCCAAGTAAGGGCCTCAGGCAGGAACAATCTACTATTAGGAATTAACTTTTCTGAGCCTATAATACTTTTACATAAACAAAAACTTCAAATAGAGTCGACCCATGGATAGATTTCACTTCCTTTTTGAAACAGTACATAATTAACCTCACATCAGTCAGCAAATGAGTGACCACGGTAAGCAAGATGCTCAGCCTCAGGCTGCAAAAAGGAATGAAGTTCCCTGCCTTTAAGGAACTTAGTGCAGTAGTTGAATAATAAGACTTTTGGGAGGAAAGTAAGACGCTTAAGGCATTGATCAATAGGAGCCTGCTCAGTTCTAAACTCAGCAGCATCAAGGACGGGATAGGAGAGGACCAAAGACAGTGAGGAGAACATGCCCCTAGTGGGACTGCCAAGGAAGAATCATGCTGAAGGCAGAAAAAATTTAAGGAAGAATGGGGTGGGAGATGTCTGGAAAGAGGCAATTTTCACTTAAGCACAGTTGTATGTGTTGCTGGGTAGACCACTGGATGGGATGCATGGACAGAGGTGTACACTGTCATCCTCTCAGCACTACACTAGAGGCTCCGAAACAGCAGCCCACCCCTTTGTCCTGTGCCCTGTGCAAAAGCCCCTGCCCAAGAACAGCTATGGTCGCAGTGTGGTCAGCTCTAGCCCACACTGGGCTCCCTTTGCATTGCATGCTGGTCTGTTTGTGCCCAGAGCAAGGGACACCTGCTTCTACCGGGCCATGTAGCAGACCACCTCCTAACAGTGGGACCCCTTTTCTGAGTGGCTGTCACTCAAAGTAGCTCTTTCTACACAGAGCAGCTATGGCTGTGCCTCTGTGTCTAATCAGAAGCTGCATGAGATTTGGTAAGTGGTTGAACAAACACTGAGATAGATTACTGAAGATCCACACAGTTACTCTCCCTATTTGAAGGGAGTCTCCCCAAGTGGATTTATGCCCAGCCTTTTTGAAAAATATGACATATTGTTCCACAGGGGTAGAAAACCAGGTCGCTTCTCTAAGGCTACTTAATTGTTCTAAAACATTTTGAGACCATAAAATAATTTGATGCTAAGATTAACTAAAGTTCCGTAATTCTGCTAAATGCAAACAGTGTTCTTATAATAGTATTTCAGGGCCCTCCATGTACCCTTTGTCCCATAATGCAGTGCACTAATGGACTAAGCCTATTTATTTATTTATTTATTTTTTGTGGTACCGGGGATTGAACTCAGGACCCTGCACTTGCCAGTCAAGAACTTCTTCTACTGAGCTATCTCCCCGGCCTGCCCTTTTATTGTACTTAACTGAAGCAGGGCAGGTCTCTGTCCTCCAGTACCTGCCTACCTAAGAGAAGAGAAATGCTGACTATAAAAGGAGAGCACCAGCCATGCTTAGAGGTGGTTAGGCATTGGTCATCTTTGTCACATATGTTTGGTCTTGACTTTGATACCAGGATAGGGCTGGTAATATGGTCTGCAGTGTTCATAGGCTGTGAAAAGTTAAGAGTAAGCAACTATAAAGCCTAAACTGACCAGCAGCATGTAGTGCCCTTGTGGTCATGTGCAGATGAAAAGACCACACAGGTCATAAATCAAGATGAAAATTAGCAAATCTGTGACACCAGTGCCATCTTATTTTATCTCTATGCTTAGCTACCAGTGAATTCTCACATGCTCGGACATGTGCCTTTGCTACACAGGCTGACATCCAAAAAGATCTGATCGTGAATTATACCTTCTCTTCTCTCTTCAGCGTTCCTTTTCTGTGGCTTTCCACACTGGAGACGATCCCTGGATGATACTGAAACTGTCAATAGAAGGAGCCTGCTTCCGCATCTACCACAGTGCATTTATTAGTGGCTCAGGGCATAAACTCTCTTGATA